CTTCGTGGTATTAGCCAGGGGAGTAGTTGTTTTCTGATAGGCGTCAGTCCATTAAACCTACTGTGTAGGTATATAGAGACTGGCTTGAACGTTTGAAGTTCCATTTGCTTTAGATTTCTTGACATTGTGCTTTGGAAAAAAACTGGTGAACTTTTGTGCTAGTGAATAATATTTCTATGCGGAAATTGATATTAATTTTCGATATTGATAATGTAGAATTCTCACATTATGTCCAGTTCAGGCAGCTACATGTTTTCTTTATATTACCGATTCCGGAATTCCTGCAGAGTTATTCTGATATAGATATAGCTGTTATGGGCTACAACAGTATATTAACATAGATGCAAATCCTATGTTTTCATATACAGCTGTCCTAATCATTGAAAAAAGTCACATTGCATGTCTACAAAATAACCGGAATGACTCCACTGGACACTGTACAATATAACCATATTATTTTTTCATTTTTGTGCCAGATATTGAAACTGGTATGTATTCTCTTCAAGAATGTTATTATTAAAGCAGATCTGATGCACCAAACTTCATTTTCATTCCAATTTCATTCAAAATATCCCTCTATTCTCTGTAGTCGAATTTGAACCTGGGGGATTCTCATGGGAAAAGAAACTTTCAGAAACGCCTCTGGTCCTAAAGAGGACTCTAATAAGTCGGCTCGCAGTTGTATACAAATGTAAAATGTCATAAACAAGCCGTTATCTATTGTATTAAACCATAATCTCAGATGTGACATCTCCGGACATAAAGAATGCTCGGCATCCGTCCTAGCAATGTTTGTAGACGGCCCTTATGACAGTCACGCGGGCTACCGGACTTGAAAGACGAGATCTGAATTCGAAAATTCCGAAATGATGACTTGTATATGCCAAAGATTTTTAGGTTACGATCCAATATATATGATACTCAATTCCAACCTCATCGTGTGGGGTCCCGGATGGTTACAGTTTGGATAGTCTCATACTTCATTACTTTCGGTTTTAATACAAATAGATTGATAGCTTTTCGTCTCATTTCATTTGTTACAGTAAGGATTTATCTACATGTTTTTCGAAGTATTACAATCCCACTTTCTGAGTGCTATTGAACTGTTGAAAATTGAAATGATGTTCCACTTAGAGGTATAGAGGTTTTCCCATTACCCTTCGTGTTCCTCACAAACCCATTTTCCTGTCTGGTTTTGCACCAAAGTATTCAGAAATTCCTCAACTGGTTCAAGTCCATCTCAGGCACGCTCCTCAGCTTTTTCATCACCTATGATATTTAAGTACCAAAATCATTGGTACGTAACCAGGTTAGGACATGGACCAATAAGAAGCACTGGCAACAAACACAGTAGAACCTTTATTAGGGAAATGGACAAGTCAGACAACTCCCAAGGAACCAAAAAAAAAAACAGTTTCTTCACGATATTCCCAGATCTTCAGAATCATCAGTGCAGTTCAACTATCTGTAGAATTATTGATCACACCATTACCAGTTTGCGTAGACGTTAGCCTGCAAGATTGATGTGCATTGGCCTTCCACAAAAGCTGATTTTCTTTCCTTCCAGAGTGACAATAATCAACAAAATTCTTCGAAACAAAAAGACCAATCGAGTGTCTTATTGAGAGAATGAGCTTTGCCACACAAGTTTCTTTTTCCGTTTCAATGGTTCTGGATCCTGCTGCTACCCGTGGGCCATAATACGAACTCCTTAGAAGTGGTCCAGATGTGCCGTATCCATTTCCAAAATGAATAATAATTTATTTCATTGTATGTTTGACTCACTCTACAACTACCTTCATTTTCTCTTACTGAGAGGAATGTTTTTTGAGCTTTTAGACTTCACTTAATTCCTCTACGGAAGTTTTAAAATGCGCATACAACATTATAAGTAATGAGGTACCTATTTAGTTCTAGGAAACAACTCAATCCTAGACAGTAACGCCATCTCCTAGTACCAAGTGGAAGTACCCTATCATTTTTGTTGAGAACAATAGAATCTTCCACGCCCTTCGAGTCTAGACTAGAACCTTCCTTAGCGATATAAAAGTAGTGCTTCGGCGCTACGTGAGTGTGATAGATCTTCAATATTACAGTATTTCAACAACCATATATTATATACTATACAGGGTTGCCCATCATAATCGCCTCGGTATTTCTACGAGGAATGAAGAGAGTTAAGGAAAAACTCCCAACACAGGTTGATGTGGGTCCATGAGGAGCATATTCCAAATTTATTCTGAAATATACAGGGTGACTCCCAAACAAGTTACTTACCAAAGTTATATTTTTTCTTATGGAACACCCTATATTTTTTTATATTTTTAGATACTATAGATAAAATAAAGGTGAGTTACTATTATATTTCCCATACTTTAAACTGACCGTTTCTGAGAAATTTCGAGAAATTTGAAAATACAGACCATTATTTAAAATAAAGGTGAGTTACTATCATATTTCCCATACTTAAAACTGACCGTTTCTGAGAAATTTCGAGAAATTTGAAAATACAGACCATTATTTAAAAATTGTTTTCACCCTGTTACGTGTAACGAACTGCTCGTGATTAAATGCACTGCTTAGCTCAAAGGTTTAAGTTGACTACCACATGAAATTTTTAATGCAATATTATTCCGAGTGGCGAAAAAAATTGCCCCAAAATTTGGACACACCTTTAATTAAATAACTTCTTAAAGTTGAATGGAACACCCCGTATTCAGTGGTGTAATTTGACGTAGGAGTAGATTCCCTTCAAAACTATATTAGGGTTACCCATACCTGTATCTTCTGCTTTTCACACATAAGGCGTTTTTATATTTTACTTATGAGTAATTTTTTAACGTTCAGTTTTAAGTATGGGAAATATAATAGTAACTCACCTTCATTTTGTCTATAGTATCGAAACATATAAAAAATATAGGGTGTTCCATAAGAAAAAATATAACTTTGGTATGTACCTTTTTTGGGAGTTACCCTGTATATTTCGGAATAATTTTGGAAGATGCTCCTCATGGACCCACATATAACTGTGCTGTTCCACTCGCGACAATATAATTCAGTGTTTTTTTTTAATCTGGCCCGCCTAGACATTTCAAATATATTATATGTCCCCCTGAAAAAATTATTTCGACACCTCTGCCTTATCGTAACTAATATTGTCACTTTTTTCTTCGAAATGTAGTATCTTATACATTGACTAACCTCCGTATGTTCCGAATTCAGCTCAAACCAAAACAATCGTGAAAAACAATTCTCATAAAAGCACTGTTTTGCGCTGTTATCTTATTGTTAATGAGCCGTTTTTCCTGAGGTCCAGCTCCGTAACCGTTTAATTGACTTTTGCCGACTAAACGTCCTAAAGTCAATTAGCGAAACCCAACTAACAAGAACTGCATCAAAAAACCCCTATCAATTTCCATGTAATTTATAATGAGTCAATTTCCGGGATGTGAATTAAAGAGCACCTTATAAATCTTATCTCAGATTTTGACACGAGGAAACCACTCCAAAATAAAGTGTAATTTTTAAAGTTGGCCACGATCTGATATGTGAGTTTATAATTGGCACTGATGCACCTGCTCGGGTTTCACTGATCTCTCGTAATGTATTTTGCTAACCACTTTCATTTTGATAAATTCGATTATATATCAATTTGTTCTTGTCGAATGAAGACGTGAAACTCCAGACTGTGTAATTATTATAAACCGTTGAACGAGATATCAACCATCAGTCTACATATACAGTTTGTCTCCAACGAGTTGGACGCCACCTTGTACCAAGAACAGAGTGAATCATTACTTATGGTGGAAGATGACAACAAACAAATTTCACCAAACAGATGAAGGTTTGAAGATTCAAAAATCTATAGTCACGTGTTCCAACGATTCACAAAAAACAGTATAGAACAGTATTCTCCAAGGTTCTGTGCTGGGCCAATCTTTATTCGATGTTAATTTCAAGTCTCAAAGTGAAGAAGAAGACTCAATGTGAAGTTCTAACAGAGTTTGAAGAGATGATTTTATTGTATTTGGCTGTTCCACACCTAATATAGTTTTATTTGTTGATGGATTTTTGCAATTAGAACGTTGATCCAATTTGTGAACGATTTGATAACTAATTATTTTTCAGGGATACACACCACTGCACATATCTGCCCAGTTTGGCCACAAAGAATTGTTCAAATTGCTGATTGAAGTATATAGTGAGTACACGAGATTTTTCTGCTTTTTTTATAACAATGTGTCCAAATAGACTTCAGCTCCAAATCAGTTCGAAATTCAGTTTGGATGATTCTTGACAAGCGTTTTTTCAATGCAGTATGTTTATTTGGAGAAGAGATCTCAGGAAGTTGACTGGACAAAGAAATCTTTTTCAAATGAAAGAGTTGTTGAAAAATATTGTTCGAGATATATTGAACTGAACCTCGAAGCGATGGGCAACTGTAGTATACCGTGTTTTACTGACATTTACCGTTCTCTCTGTGAAACTAAACAGGCTCAGTTATTTTTATCGTCGAAGTATCTGTACCAGAAAGTTCCCAACCGTCCTTCTATATTCCAGACTACCGAGGTTGCTTGTGATGATTAGTCTAGAATAATCTTTCTCAATGTGGGCGATAACGCCCCCTTGTGAACGCTGGAGGCCTATAGGAGGGCAGTAAGGGGCACAGAGAAGATTGGGGGCGTTGAAGCGGTTTAGGAAGGCGTTGAAGAGGTTTAAGAGCGCGATGGCTAATTTAAAAATGTTTTTTTGCATTTAACACAAATTTTACTGCTCTTAAACGCCTAACGCGCGTTTCCTCGTGTAACGCCATCTAGGGGACTAGACACTAACTATTTTCTGTCCGATAGCTATCAAACTGTACAATAGATGGCAATAAGCTTCAATGCAAAACGAGAAGTTTCTAGTCTCCATTCTCGAAAGTACTAGGCCCGCCCGCTGCCTCATATAAAAGCTCGCACGCCATCTAGCCAGTAATGTCATTCGACGATATTACGAAAACAAGTTAATTTAGTTCAGTTTAGTGAGTTTAGCTAGCAACTAGCTAGGTAAAGTGCTGTACGTGGAGTGGTGAATACTGTGATTGGTGTCATTAGCATGTTTTTAATACTCGATTCTGTACTTCGGCATGTTTGAAGACAAAATTATGTCGGAAGCAAAAAAGAAGGAACGGCAGTATAGCGCAAAATATATAAAATATGGATTTATTGAAAATCTCACAAATCCATCTTCGCCTCTGTCCCTTCTTTGTCAAGGCTACAAGATCATTTGAATAAAATGCATTCAGATAAAAAAGACAAGAGTGTGAATTATTTTCAAGAACTGGAAAAGAAACTCTGTAATAGAGTTCTTGGAAAACAAAGACAAATAATTGCACGACAACCTCATCACTTCAAAGAATGATATTGCGTACTTGTATAAATTATTCAATGATATCAATCTCCAACTTCAAGGTGACGACTTGAATTCGATTAAAACAAAAAATGTCATTGCTGCTTTCGTAGCCAAATTGCTCTTATACAAAAATAATATCGGCAGACGTGAGTTTATAACTAAAAAAAGAAATCGGTTGCAGATTACCGAACGCGGTGATTTACGGCTGTTTTTGAGTAAATTCGAACCTGAACAAACTTGTTGAAAATCATCATCGTTCACATTAGATTAGTTTGAAAATTCAAATTGAAATTTTTGTTTTAATAAAATGAATAAAAGTTTTCCTAATATTACAAAATGGTGTTTCACATTACCCTCATTAGAAAGCCTCATTTTCACATGACACACATAAATTAATTATTAAAATAATGACTGCGATTGTGATTCGTAAGATGTAGTGAAGTGAGAACCCTTGGTCTAGAATCAGGAAAATGTCTCTTTTCAGCGTACTTGTATGAATAGTATGGTCCATATTCCTACAGTAAACCAGGACGAGGGTTTGAAGACCTTGGTGGAGACTGACCCATCACAAACAATGGGTGGGATGGCTGAAGAACTTGGCGTCAGCCTACATGCGGTTTTTGATGGTTTAGAAGCTCAGAAAGTGCGTGCCCCACGATTTGAACCATCGACAAAAGGGTCACGTTTCAAAGTCTCTTCTTCTTTACTTCTGCGCAAAGCGAAAACCCACCATAGTTACTGTTTGGTGGTCAGCGGCTGGTGAAATTCACTGTAACTTTCTGCAATCGGGTCAAACGATCACAGCAGAGTCCTATCGTGAGGAGATCAATGAAATATAGTGAAAGTGGGCTTCTTTGGTTACAATCTCCAAACGTTCCAACTGGAACTGCGGCAGTCATCTTCAGTGACCTTGTCGAAGTACTGTTCTTGACATATCAACTGAAACTGTTGATTACGTTTGTTTTAGAGATATTAAGACTGAGAAGATTTGCGCCAAACTTTTTTTTTATTTTGCTAATACAATTCATCATTGTTTTGCAGAAGCTGATCCCAACATAAGGGACTACAGCGGCAGGACGGCGGAATATTATCTTCTGGTGAAGGAGCATAAACAAGGACCCGGGATAACACTACGCAGTGAGTACACCAGAGACAGTCTGCGGCATGAGAAGTCGAGGAGCAAAAGCTTTCGCCACAAAACCATATCATTGCCCACCCCGGTTATAGTTAATTCCACATTTTTATTCGAAACTAACAAAAGATCTGCCACTGCTAAGTAGATTCCCACCAGCACTTGTAACTAACCAGTCAGCATTTACTTCGGAAGGAATAGACAAAGAATGGGAATGGTTGTCATGTTGTGATCCAAAAAAGCATTGTGACGTGATCAATAGTTCCAGTCATAAATCTAAAATAAGCACAAATACTCGCTTATTTTAGATGTGACGGAATTGGTCGATTCCTAATGAAAACCAATAAACACTTTGTCGTGAGATTTTCACTGAATGTTATACAAAACCGCAACACATGTTTTGCTATACGAAAGCTTCCGCACACGTGTTCATACTGACCCAATTCTACATAATCGTTCATTTATATAACAAATTCCATGCGCCTCTGCCAAAAAATGGTTTGCAAATGTATAATTGGCCTTCACATTCAAGAAAATACTACTATGTTCTTTCATTCTTTGGTGAACGATTCTCCTCGTTTGGCCAATATTAAGATCAGGTTATAGATCAGGAGTATAGATCAGTTGACTGGTGGCTCGTGCTCAAAACTTTATATAGTTCAAACAGGGAGAAGCTGTTCCAAGAGATTGACGGAACATATTAGTAGTTTTTTGAGTGTAAAGATCAATTCCACATTTGCAAACCATATTTTGGCAGAGGGGTGTGAGTTCAACAAATGTGACGTATTACGTTTGGGAAAGAAAGGTTTAGAAATGAATTTTTTGAAATGCTCGGAAATTAAAAGATTCAAGAGTTCTCAAAATTTGCTGAATTTCCAAATAGATCTGAATTATTTTCCTCTGTAAAATCTGTTTCCTAATGTGAAAGTTGGTAATTACATGGCTCTTCAATGAATTGGTGAAATTCTTTCATATTGTTTGAATTTTTGATTAGTTTATATCTTAACTCACGCATAATTATTTTTGGTTAAACACTCATTATTTAAATTTTCATCAGTATGAACACGAATGAGGAAGCTATTATTCGGTTACTATTCAGTGTAAATCTTAAAATGAAGTGAAACTTATTATTTTGTTCGACTAATGAAACAAAAATGAGTTTGAAACGTTTTCCATTCAATTAGATTTTCATTCAATATTTTTATTGTACAGCCCTGAAGTTCTTGAAAACATACAAAAAAAAAAACATGAAATTCACTAGTTGGACATTTGACAGATTATATGAGTGATGAAATCTGAGTTTACAAGTATATTCTCCAAGAATTGTTTACAACGATAACAAGGCACATTTTTGAGAAACATAAACCTTGAATTTTTAATTTACGGCGGCAAAATTATCGATATTCAAAAAGTAGACGGGAATTTCAACAAGCCTTTGTTATTTCATAACTATCAGAAGAAGAAGGACTATTTTATATGTCAAATAACCAAACTATTGATTTTATTTGGTATAGGTTGAATACAAGTATAGTGGAGTGGAGAAAATTTGATTCACCATAAATTCAAATAGTCGGCAAATCATCTTCTTAGAAGTTTCTAACTTTTTTTTTTAATTCTGAAACACTTTAACGCAGTAACATCGGGTTAAGAAAGTTTCCACAAAAATGTTTACTTCACTTTGTTCACCCTCAGAAGTAGATATAACTACAAAAGTGAACTATTGCCACACTCAAAATATTCAATTCAAATGGAGGGTAACGGATCAAAATTCGAAAGGATTATGAAAGCTTCAATAACTCCTACATATTTTCATGTAGGAATATTGACAGTTTTAGAATAATCTATGAGTGAATCCATATTTGTATAGGGATGACTTTATTCATAAATTGATTCTCAAAGAACGCCTATTTGTTGGATGAACTTCGTCTACGGAGTTCTTAAATTTTTTTTTCTAAACATGGGTCCCATTTTTTCAAAGTTTTGGTGTATTCGCATATGTAAATACTCATATTTTCCCAAAGAAGCTATTTCTTCTCTAATGAAAGTTCTTGGAGAATAATTATTGTATTTGATTTTATAGTGCTTCATCTGTCAAAAAATTGTTCAGCAGTCAAGTTTTTTTTCAATCGACTCCAAGGCTGTAGTATATGATATTATGACTGAAAAAATATTGAATTTATTGTAACCCAACTTGCATCACTGCAGATAAGGATAGCGAATTGCTTTCCTTTCATTTAAGAGATTCACTTGTTCGTACTTGATCATTTGCTAGTCATATTCGCGAGTCACTCCATAAAAAATTCTATTATTTTTTAGTTGATACTTCTTAAATATAATGTTCAGTACATACAGGATGTTTCACGGTTGGCCATTAGATGAAAAAATTATAGTAGTGATAGTTGTAAAGATCGTGACTGAAAATTGAAAGAATTTTGTTTTTAGGATTCTCAAAATTCAGGTGTGGGACACCAGCAGAAAATTGTTGCTGAAGTTTATACTGCCAAAAGAAAACTGGTTCTTGAATTGGCACGATAATGTTGTTGATGATGTCACTATCAGTTGCATCATCATCATCAAACTTTTTCAGTAACTAAAGAGTAAAACAACTTAATTTTTGACAAAATCCTTACTTATCATTGTAAAATGTTGGTCAGAACTGATTTTGCTTCATTTATTGAACTTGTCACTAAAATATCAATGGAATTTATCTACAAAAATTTTACATATAAAGTAATGGTACTTGTACTTATTTTGGAATTGACATTACTCAATTCAAAATTAACTTATTATATTGATTAAAATGAACAACACCCGATTTTTCTTTGTAGATTTATGCAATTGCATATTCGTACATGATTTTCAATTCCAATAACTTTTTCCAAAAGCAAATTTTCAATCTCAAAAGTAAAAGTACTTTACTCTGGAACAAAGTTCATTTTTTGACTAACATCTTATACGACTGAAAAAATTCTCTAATCAATGATTGCATTTTATGTTTCAGTCCTCACTTTCTCCTGAAATAAATAATAATAAAATTATCTAAAAGAGCAATTCGTTCAAGCCAGTCTCAATTCACCTACACAGTAGGTTAATGAACTGAAAACAACTACTCCTCTAGCTAATATCACGACGGGCGTTGGATTATATCCGACAGGTGTCAGTACTCTTCACAGAAGCAATTCCTGCATATGATTTTGGCGATATAACTGCCAAAATCGATTTTCAATATGGCGTCGATAATTTCTCATAGTTAAAAATCGAATTTCTTTCAGAGTCTTATTCCTGGTGATATTGATGATAAAGATTTCCACGTGGTTACAGTTTAGTGAGATATAAATGTATTGAAATATAAAGGAGTTTTTATCACGAACTTTACAACTTTCATAGTAGTGCTAGTAGAAGTAGTAGTAGTTGTAGCAACAGCAGTTTTGAGTCTGGATTCAATCTACATTTCATTGGAACATCCTGTACATGGAAGTATTTCTTTCCAGTCATTGCATGTGCCATACAAATTCAGTATATTTTTTTGCATTTATTTATTTTAGATTTTCTTCAATTTTAGATTCACCGGGTGTTGGTTTGGATTATGTTTGGTTATTTTTTTCATATGTAGTAATAGTGCTTTGTCGTATAATAGTCAGTATCCTACTGTTACAATAAAAAGAGGAGGAGGATGATGAATAATAACAAACTCATTTATATAAAAAATGTTTAAAAGGGTGTGCTATTAGAAGAGATTTGGTTTCGGGAAGGAAAGGTTTGGAATTTTCACTTCTCCATATTTATAAAAAAAATGTGGGAAATTTCCATGATCTTCACATCATTATAAAGAGTTTTTTTAGAAATGAATTGCTTTCTTTCATCCTTTCTATGTAAGATTTCTACATTTCCCATATGGAGATGGAGAAAACAAAAACCTTCCTTTCCCTATCAAATGGTGCTAAATTCGAACGTTTTCCTTTCGAACGCTTTTTTTCGATCTGATTCAATATTCTGACACATTCATCAAAACCAAAACGTTGAAATCAAATCTTTCTGTCATCCTGTTTCCCTCAGCTTCCAAAAATGTATTCAAGTTATATTAAAAACAATTCCATAGTAGCAGTATTATATTTTGCATGTCATCAATTTGTTTCACAATAAAATTGTTGATGTAAAACCTGTTTTTCATTCATTCCAGAAATCAAAGGCAGAAAGAAACAGACAGGTGAGTTCAGCGAGGTGAGAGTATAATTTCGATTTCCCAAAAAGGTTCGTAAGAGTTTTTTGTTCACAGTAATCACGTTTTTTGTCTGAACTATTGAAAAATTCAAGATGAAACATTGAAACACGTTTTTCAAATTCACTTTCTTGATAATCAATTTGAAGGTAACGAATTTTAAAAAACGTTGAAACATGTTTCTATTTTGAGGTCAAATAACCAAGTTTAAAATCCAAAAATCAATAAATTAATACTTTTCACAGAGGGAAGAAGAATCCAATGATAATTTAAAAATATATTTGATATGACAGGGCGTAGGTACAAAATTTCAATTGTAAAATGAAACCATATTTAAAGGGGTTATTTTTTTTTTTTTGAGGATGATAGTGTTCCATGTAAGTGCAATTTGTTACCATTCATTTGAAGTAGAATTCCTGTGAATGATATTTGATTTTATTCCATAACGAATGTTTGGAATACAAACTGAGTAGAGAAAAGTATATTCTGTATAATTCAGTGTTCATATTAAAGTATTTGTTTCGAAAGAATTGTTTCTTTCGTGTAATTCAATGATTATATGAAAGTAACTGTTTCAGGAGGGCTTTCTTTCAGTTTGTGTCTGAAAGTCACTTCTTTGCATGATCTACACATCCATGTATAGAGTTACTTATTTTCAAATTCCTGTCTTTGGAAGATTCCCACATTTTTTTGGATCCAGATGGAGTAGTAGAAAGCCAAAAACTTTCTTTCCCAAAAACCATAATTCTTTGATACAATATTTTATTTTTGAATTATTAGTTTTTGAACAATGTCAGTCACACATAAAAGTTAACAAAATGGCTCAAAAATTCTATGTTAATCTAAATATAGAATTCATGGCATATTTTACTGTTGTAAACGAAGGAGCAGACTTGATCAGAGGAGAATCCAATTCAGGTTTTATATTGGTTGAGCTGAAGCCTTTAAAAAAAAAGAATTGTACCGCATAACGATGGCCAATTTTCTCTATTTTCACAAATTCACCAAAATCATTCCCTATCGACGGCTGCCAAACGAACACTAATCAACTCAGTGTCTTCAAACTTGAAAAATATGCTTTATATGTTGTGTACTTTCTAATGCACTGATATTTTTTAAGCAACTACCGCCATCTCTAGTTCAGGCCGGGTACTTGTTGGACCATCCTCGTATATTTTCCATATGATTAAAAAATTGTTGGTTGGAAAATAAGGTGGAGCATAAAAAAGCCCCCATTTTGAGTCCTCCTAAAATTTTCTTACACTTTCAAATAATTAGATAAATCAAGTAATTGTTTATGAAGTTGGGAACTGAATTTTCAGGAAAAATTGTTCTCATCTTATTAAATCGGATGGTACAGAAAGTAACGATGGGTCGTTTTCTCAAAATCGTGGTAACTATTCAATTATGCCTAGTTCATTGTATTTTTAACTCTCTGAAACCTGTGCATTCATCATATTTTCCCAGATAAAGATTTGGGGTTTCTGAGAATCGGATCTCTCAACGTTCGTGTGAAAAAGACGACGGAAGCTTTCAGCAACTTCCTGGGAGTTGGTGGCGGAACCATTAGTCCCCTGGATACTATGCATGAGAAAGTTCATAAAGGATGGGGATCTGCAGACAACGTCAACAAGGTGAGTCGATATAAATTACATTAATAAAATTGAGAGAAGTTATGAAGTCATATGAGTCATTCTGTAAAAAGTAACACTGCAAATTTCAATTCTTAAATGGTACTAGTACAAGGGTGCTCAACCCCAGGCCCGCGGGCCACAATGTGGCCCACGAAAGAATTTTAAACGGCCCGCGCAAGTAAGTTTTGAAAAACGCACCAAATTGAAAAATCCCGCCAGATTGCCTGCCGCGAAGGAACGTAGAACCTACGCCGTTCAAGGTAAAGATTGTTCACTTTCGACTATGTTTAATTTGATAAGCGGATTCAAAGCAGAATCAAATCTCTTTTCAATTAATTTGGCTACAGAAAATATTGACCTCTTTCCCACACTAACACATTTGAAAGAGAAGCTCAATATTGCTTCTGTTAATTATTCTAAATACCAATCTAAAATTTGATGCTGGCCACAGTTGTTTAAGAAGAGATTTTAAGATTTTGAAAGCAAAAGACAAACTACACAAATTTTTATTAATCCTGCCGATATTTAGTTGAAACTCGTTGAACTGCAAAATCACGATACGTTAAAAAACGTTTTTGCCAACAAATTGTTTTCGAAAGCACGAAATTCTTCAGAAGATTTTGCAGACTTCTGAAAATTGGTACCGAAAGCAGAATTTCCAGCAATAACTGACCTGGCGTTACAGTTTTTAAATGGTTTTGGAACAACATATGTATTTTCAGACCTCAATTATGTACAAAATAAATACCGCACATCCTTAACTGAGCAACATATTTGTGACTTGTTGTTGCTATCAACATCGGATCGGATAGTTACTAGTAGTACCAGTTACTAGTACCATTGCAGGGTATTGAGAGCAGATAGTTGTTGGTTCACAAATGAATAAAAAACACCTGCAGGTTCTGGTACAAGTGTTTAAATCGCAGATCCAGGACAGAGATATCAACCTGCCTAGAGATCTACGCGACTGTATTTCAAGCAGAAATCTATGCTATGTGCAGAGAGATTGGTTGAATCCACCCTCATAAACAAGTCAATAAAAATATTCTCGAACAGTCAAGCGGCATTGGAAGCTCTTGGTTCCTACTGAGCAACGTTCAAATTGGTAGCAAATTGCCAAAAACGATCCTCTTCGATAGGAAGACTCAACAGATTGTCTATGGCCTGGAACCATGTTTACATGGTTGATAAACCAATCGGTTTTTGCAGTACGTTTTCCCAGCATAACCTCTTCGTTTCTGATGTCTTCATTTCACAGGTCACCAACAATTGGTGACCTCTGGTTTTTATTCTCAAGTTCTTTTTATTCGATTATAGCAGCAGTGCAGCTCACTAATTTTGTCTTCAAGTAGACTCATAGGTCACATTCATAGGTGATTCACCGAATCATCCAATCACCAGTAAAGAACTCAGTTGACAGTTTCTTTTTCTGACCTCAGTTTTTTTTTAACTTTCATGGTGAATGAAATCCAAGCTTTGACGTGGACACTATCTGACAGAAGGGAAATCAAGAGTGATGGAAATGTTAAACCTCCATACACTTTTGCTGAATATCTTTCACAGTGAATTTCGATGTTTCTCATCGATCTCATACCTTTGGAAAGATGGTAGGTGTTTCATTATCTCAAAATCTTCATTCCAAATATGTTTACACAACCAATATCTACTTTGGTGGTAGTACTACGTGGCTGGAAATGTGAAAACACAGGCAATGGGGTAATCGTCAAAAACTAATGATAGATTATTTTATTCTGCCATCTATCTGTTTACTCAACAACCTCTAAGCTCTTCTCCAAATTTATTTCACTGTACTTCACTATCAACTGAAGTTTCCCAGAATAATTTCTATTGATCCTCTACAGTTATGAATACAACTTTGGTAATTTCAGTCTTCCTGGATTTTCTTTTCCTCGCCGACTCAAATCAACTGAAACACTTTTCTTCTTGATTCGGTAACATTCAAAACAATTTTTTCTATTCTCAGGAAACCACCAATGGGATAACGAAAGGCTACAGCTCTAAGAAGAAAAGCCGAAGGACCTATGAATCTGGAAGAAATAGCACCCCCAGTACACCCAAGACTCCTAACAGAAGCTTCAGTTCATTCCAAAACAATGATTCAGATTCAGACACAGCAGCGGGATTCGACTCCAACTGGAAGAATTAACTGTTGGAAAATTTTTTGTTTCAAACCTGTTAACATTGGTTCAGATAAAATTTTGGCGGTGATTCTGTAGATGCTAATGCTCCCAACATCGACAATTCAATTTGGAGGTTGCAATCATCACATATTTTTAAGATAATTTATTTGTAACTTATCCATTACGTAGTTAGTTGTGGGTATGGTATTTTGTTCGTTCAATAAAGTTTAAAAAAAAACAAATTTCCAGACTGTTTGCGGGTATGAGCTGTTTTCAAATTTGGAGTTAAATCAAAGCTTTTCCTTCTGTTCTCTAAATGTGGTCAACTGAAAAACTAACGAATGGATTTTCATCCCGTTTTCGCATTCAACAGAAACTTCCTCCTCTTCTCTCCTTGGATCTGCTCCCTTTTGGTACAATATCCCATCTTATTCAGGCGACTACAATTCTTTTTGATCATTGATGATCATGTTGTAGCTCGGGTAATGTTCTTACCTACTGTATCGTTCTTTCTACTTTATTCTTCAGGGGTGTTCACTGTAATTAGTAAAACATATAAGGGAAATACTTACCTCGATTAGAAGCAGCGGCGAAGCGAGCTATACCTTCCTTATCCCAAAGATAAAGACGATGTATGCCATACCTTCCTTATGCTATACCTTCCTTATACTATAACTTCCTCATGTTATACCTTCCTTATCCCAAGGATACCTTCCATCTTGTTCAGGTAAGCAACACAAATATGTGACTTGGGTCTTCTTGTGGCGTATTTCTGAGAACTCCGCCTCCTCAATTTGCTACAAGCTACCTGATCCTCTACAGCAGTCATGAAAGCATAGTGAAGGAATTCCAGTTCATGGTATACCTGGATCTAGCCTTGGGATAATGAAGGTCCCCCAATGCCTTCCACGGGTTTGAGTTCCTTGGGATAAAATCTTACTCAGTTGGTTACTGTGTGCAGAAGCTGGAATCTCATCAATCCACCCCCACACAACCTTACGTGAACCTCAACCTGCTGATGGGCACTTCAGCAAGATTGACATTTGACCTCCTGCAGTCTACACAGACACACTCACATTTGTTCACAAACATAGTTATACGTATACACTAAAACATGGAAATTCACACTGTTCGTATTATCAATAAAGTCATTTTCATTTTTTTATCAAAACTTAGATCTGTTGATCTATAAGCAAGGTATAGATAGCCTCATTCTTGGGATAAGGAAGGTGGAGCATAAAGAAGGATGTTTATAAATTGAAGTTTCGTGTGAAATGGTTTGGATTCGAAGATGGTCCCTCCTAGTTATATGATATAATGAGACTTGGATCTCCCATCGAGGCAACAATATCGGAACGTTGATTTTTCGTGCCATACAAAATAGTGGTCATACAAAATAGTCCGTGTTAGGAATCACACGTTAAAAGGTAAGACCTCGTCAGTCCTTAGCTCGCACAGGTTTCTCAACTTCTGAGAGTTGTCGTTCGTATGCTGATTAACGGAAAAACAGAGATTTTAAACAGTCAATGACAATTGAACACAACTAGTTCACATAAGCAGTCCTCAGACTGATAGCTGACAATGACAATATACAAGATTTATAAAATGAGATCCAATAAATAACAGTATAGTCAAAGTAACCGATATAGTAATCTTAAAGGTGTCGGCGAAGTCAAAGGCCAAAAAACCAATACAAAGGAATTATGCCGCAACGAATTAGTCCACGTGGACTGGAGAATTGGCGGTTCGATTTAGATAATTTCCACTAACCGAGTTTTATGATTGGCTGAAGAGTCATGAAATTAAATTTGAAGTCATGTTACGGTGACCAACAGAATGTAGCGATGAGTACCGCGTTGTGTGCCCCCTACCTTTCGCGTGGGAACTGCTGTAAGGTAGGGGGCACTATATCTTTTACTTGAACTATACAAATGCAAAAGAAAACCGTTCAACATCAGAGAATATGGCTTTATATAACAATGATGAGTTGAATAATATTCTTCTACTGCAAAATTTAATTGACATTCAAATTTAGATTGAATGTAACAGAGTTTAAGATGTGATAAGGTATATTGGGCAGACTGGACAGCTACCAAGCTATAGAGTTAAGACTCAAATATCATGGCGGGAATTCATCAGAATCCGAACATCACCAAGAACCAGGTCATCGTGTTGCTTTCGATAATGTTCAGTTATTAAATTGTGACCACAGTCTACGGAGAAGAATGATTTTTGAAACGTTTCATATCAGTCTTTACTGAAAGACGGGCAACAGACAATTGGATATTGAATTCCTCAGCAAATATATAACATTGTGATCCATGCAATGCACTGCACCACGCAAGGGTTTACCTATCCAAACAAGACCAAATAAATCCAGCTCGTAACAAAGCCAATTACTTCATCAGGCAAGTGATATTTCTGGTCAGTTGGCAAGAGTCTGCCATAATAGCTCCGCTTCCAGCACCTCAATTTCATTATGAAGAATAATTTCCTCAAGGTTGACAGACCATGGTACATTTTTCTCAATCTGATGACATTTACAGGTTATCTGATCCTCTCAGTTAACCTCTAAATGTCCAGACTGAAATGTGCAGCTTTGGAATGGTTCCTGTGGACTATCATTTGTCAGTTCAGTGCTTGATATTGAGATTGTCGGATGTTGAAAATGCGATGTTTCCATCATAACTCCTGTAGCAACCTTTCCATTAGAAGAAGGCATTTGTACGTCATTATACATGGCACATTAGATTCAGATATACTGGGATTATCTCCTTCTGGTCTGGGAGAATCATTGTTTGAGCATAAGGCATAAGTAGTTGCTAAGCTCCTCAAGGACAGTTTGTGTTCTCTACATCAATTATATCCTGCCTAGTCAATAATGAGACCTACAGTTTGAAAATTTATATTGTAACTGGCCACTGTTTATTACACAACCCTCCATTTCAAATGGACAAGTTCTCAGGCAAATAACCTTAGGGCTGTATCAGAGTCCTCAGTCTTGAATAATTCATTTGTGGTGCGAAATAACTAGTCAAGTTTGTACATAACTTGAGTTTGGGAATCTCCATTATGTGTTGTCTAAATTTGGGCGCAACAACGCGGTCTGACATCTAGTAGTGAATGGTAGAGATAGTTCTGCATAAGCATTACAGATATCTCTACATGTCACTTCTGTTTTCTCCTACTCATTCATAGATGGTAGCACATTGACTGTAATGGTACTTTGACTTGGAATTTTAAATAATCAACAGTGTAAATGATTCCCTACAGAAAACATTGAATCGGTGGTGCCATTGAGGTAGAATATATTTTTTTTATTCAGTTATAGAACTGACCGATACTTGATGAAAATCCATTATAATTTATTCAAAAAACATACTTTAATGTAAGTTTACAAACTCGCAACACGTGTTTCGCTATATAATAATAGCTTTACCACAGTATACCATATATAAGTATACTGTAGTATCAGTCTGAGAAAGAGAGAGGGTACTTAATAACGTTGACATTATGAGTCAGAATTTGTCAACTATCGTTTGGGATATGTCTAATACCACGGAGTTCGTTTCTTTAACCTGACAGCAAGATTAAGAACCGTTAGCTATCATGAGGTAAATTTGAAGCACTCACGGTTTGAAAAAGAAGAAAATATTGGTAATAATGAGAGGTGTTGATACTATGAAACCCAATGATTTCAAAATGATATAAATGTATGTAAATACTTTGACATTTCAATTTCAATATGGATGTGTATGTATATAAGTATACTGTGGCTGTATAACAGGAACGAAATAATAGCCAATTCCGTATTTAAATTTAACATAATTCACCCTTTCACTCTTTAAAATGAATATATGACATTCATATCTTTGAGGGTAATGATGATAATTTTGACATACTGCAAATAAGTTTTTATAATTGGAGTTTCTCGAAATCATAATAATCTTCTCTCTGAAAATAATATTAACCTGCAATAATATGAACATGCTTCCCACGTAAGCTGTTTTATGTATTATTTGGCGCGATTATGTTTCAATTTGGTTGGTTTCTTTTTATTCATAAAAAAATTAGCTGGTGGTGCATTTCCGTTTTGCTATGAAGTTCTCTCTTGTGAAAAATGTTGTCAAAGTATTTTGTAGATTATATTGGATTGGGCCATAGTCATGAGAAATGTATCGGAGTCCCAAGCTAGGAATCGCACGTTAAAAGACAAGACCTCGTTAATCCTCAGCTCGCATAAGAGTTCAACAGATTTGTTAACAAGGTACACGTTTGTGAAAGGTTTTTGGTACAGCCTCTCCTGACGCAATATAAAAATGAGAAATATTTGATTTTCCATCAACAGTCTAGGAAAATATTCAATATGAATCCTGCAATGTTGAATTTTCAATCTCAAGTCCACATGTGTTGTTTGAAACGTGAAACACTTGCCTTTCGATACTATTACCTACATGGGGTAATTGAAATTGTCGCAATTCGCCATAAGTGAAGCACCTGGGTCCATTTATCGCTGTTAGAGTGATAAAAATATGAAACCCTGGTAGGTACAAGGGCATATTTATTTTTATGTTGCTCTAGACAGAACCAAAAACGACAACAAGTACACGCGTCTGAAATGCGATACTCGTATAGCTACCTACCAGTATGTAGGCTGAGAATAAACATTACGTGTTTGTTGAGATTTACTGACGTTTAAAATGAATGAAACAGTACCGCCCTGTAGAAATAGTAGAAAAATGTCATGCGAGAAATTGAAGATAATGAGGAAAATCCTGTAGTAATAATAAATCGTATTATATTCCTATAAAGATGAAGAATCGAATTCTCAATACCTCTGAACCCTCAATTCATAGTAAAAATATTAATATTTCACACCAAATGTTCATTAATAATTTCTATTCAGATCCTCAATTGAAGAAGATATTAATTATTGAGTGCATCTACCATAGACAACAATAATTTTTATAGTATACTAAAATCAAACTTTTTTTAGGAACAAAACAAGTATTACAGGAAAATTTTTAAGACGCCATAATTGGCAAAATGTTCTCATGAAGTTAACTATAATAATCAATGAAGTTGCCCCGGAGCGCCAAATAATTTTTGTTGTTGTTTCATAACTTCTTGATTTGTATTACTTTCTCGATGAAAAAAGGGTGTTAATTGACATGAAATTCACTTCATTTGAAAGATAACCTTCTGGCGTTATAATTTGAATAAGACTACTGGCAAGGAAAATCTATAGGAGCTACTAGGACCAATTACATGTATTGTCAAGTTGATTCTGAAATCTGGCGTATTTCCATCAAAACTAAAAATTGCAAAGATAATTCCGGTTTTTAAAAGTGGTGATATCAATCTTCCTTCAAACTACAGACCAATTGCACTACTTCCAGTAATTGCAAAAATTGTAAAAAATTAAAGGCAATAATAATGATAAATTATTTAGAGTACACAAATATCTTGACAGATAGACAGTTTGGATTCAGGAAAGGAAGAAGCAGTGCTCGAATTAATCGACTCCATAACTGAAGGTTTCGAAAACAGAGAATCGTCACTTGGCATATTCCTCGATCTGAGCAAGGCGTTCCGACTGCGTCTCTACTGACATTTCATTAGAAAAACTGAGATACTATGGATTTTTAGGCATAGCACACAATCTGCTAGCATCATATCTGAATGAGACAAAGCAATGTGTATCATATAATGAAGAACTCAGTAGCTCACAAACGATATTGAATGGTGTTCCACAAGGAAGTGTGCTTGGGCCACTACTGTTCTTGATTTATACTGATGACCTGCCAAATTCAATGACAATGTTTACAATGCTATTCGCCGATGACACTTCCTTCTCCATTCGGAAAAAAAATTTTGAAGAGTCATCAGAATTAGAAGCTACGGACTGGTTTAATGCGAATAGCCTATATGTGAATGAAGGCAAGACACAAACAGTTATGTTCTCGCTGTCCCATAACCTCTCAAATAATGAGAAATGTGTTGGTATAACCATTGATTCAAAGTTAACTTGGTAACCCCATATGATAGGACAAGAGAGAAAGAGGATACGTATTATGAATGTGTATGACGAACCAGGAGGAAGAAGGAACGCAAGGATGGATGTGATGAGGAGAATCTTTGATGAATGGGAAGGAAAAAGATATTGCTAGGAGATGTGAATGCTAAGAATGTGGCGTGGGGTGGAAACACCACAGACGAGCGGGGAGAGGACATATTAGAATGGGTGACTGGAAAGGGATACGTCATAGAGAATGATAGCGAAATTCCGGCTACCTTCTCTAGCAACAGGGGTGAAAGCTGGGTCGATTTGACCATAAGTGGGAACACGCAGCTGGACGACTGGAAAGTATGCATGGAACTAACGTTAAGTGACCATAGAATGATTGAGTTCAGTCTGACGGGGTTTCCCAAGATGAGGAAAGTTAAGGTAATGAATATAAGGGGCACAAACTGGGCAGGTATGGAAAACATCATAGCTGACTACTGCCCAGGAATGCTAGATACGAATGAGGATATTGAACGGGAAGAGATAATGCTTCAAGGAATAATGAAAGAAGCCTGTATGAGGTTTATACCTAGGTGTGAGAGGGTGATCGATGTGGAAAGAGAATGGTGGAGCAGGGGGCTCGAGACCATGAGGAAGCAAGTAAGGAGGAAAAGGAGATAAGCTCAGGGATGAAGACGCAAGAATGAGAGGAATGAATGACTACAGAACGACAAGAAACAGGTATAAAAGAATGATAGGGAATGCAAGAATAGCCTGGTTGAGGGAGAGGGTGGAGCGGCTCCATGACGAAAGTCCGTGGGACCGCGTCTACCGGCTCCTCAACGATGATAGAGCTGGAGAAGTGCCCTCGAATGTCGTAAGAGGGGATGGAACCTACACCGAAGGGAAGGAAGAAACCAGTAGGTATCTACTGAATAAGTACTTCCCTAAGGACGACCCCTCAAATGACACACCAGCCAGACGGGGGATTAGGGAAGGAGCAATGGGAGAATGGGGAGAAAAACAGCCGTCCTTCTCGGTCGGGGAGCTGCGCACAGTTGTTGAGCAGCTGCCCGATGGGAAGGCGACAGGAATAGATGGGGTCCCTAACGAAGTCATCCGTAAGGTGACTGAATGGAAGGGAGACTGCCTGGTTAAAATATTCAACGCCTGCCTGGATAGAGGGTACTTCCCGGAGGTATGGAAAAAAGAAACCAAGATCTTTTCGCAAAATTTAATATAAGATGAAACTTGACATATATTAGTAATTTTTCATAGAGAAGATTTTTAGTCTATCAATTTTTCTGTAACTAGCCACTAGATGGAGCTGTAGAACAATTTTTGAAAGCAATGTTCTATAACGCTGCGCACGCCTAAGTTTGTTGATTCTAATTCTGTTTAAATATTGGAACAGCATCAATACAACAACATAGTACTAGTCTTCTATAAATATAATGGACACATATCCAATACAGCAGCAATGATTTCTTCTGTATGCACTGTAGGACGTCTCTGAGAATGCGTGTTATCATAGAGTAAATGTTGTGCAAAAACGTTCCATAGTTGATCAAATTCATTGCTCTGATGGACGACTATGTGAACCGCAAAATGAACGCGCGATACGTATTTCGAAGAAAACCACGACTTTTACAGTGAATTTGCACAATTTGGAAGCGTTGTTCATGCGTAATTCATGTTAAAATGTCAAACCAAACTAAACATATATCACTTGACAGCTGACAAAATGACCGCCAGTTAAAGAAGTGTTGCCAACTTAAAACTCTATACCTCTATAAAAACACCTTTGTATGAAAATATATGACATTGTTATTCGGTTGTTTCAAAAATGTTGTCCGTTCCAATGTCATGTGTGTTTTAATGTCTGCTTTCCATCTCATTTATTTATTTGTACACTGTTCTACAGGTTCCATCCAACTACAGAACAGAACAAAACTACAGAACAGTAAAATTACAATACTATACAAATACGATAAGATATATGATAAAAACAATACATATAGAATTAGCTGAGGTAAAGAGACCTAATTACGTTTGACACACAAGTTATGCAGGGGTAAAAGTTTCAGAATATTTGTACGTGGTGTTTTAAAATATATTTTTACGTTAATCAACTGTCGCCCCCATACAAACGACAACTCTCAGAAGTTGAAAAACTTGTGCGAGCTAAGAAATAACGTGGTCTTACCGTTTAACGTATGATTCCTAACACGGCAGATAGAAAGGAATAACCACTCTAGAGGTTGGTCTAGGTACATTGAAATTAAGTTTATGCAGAATATGTGTGTCAATAATTAAATTATTAATCAGTTCAAAAATAAAAATTGTTGAGTGACAATCACGACGGTAACTCAAGATATTCATAGCATGTCTAGCTAACAATTCATCATGGGAAGATCCAATTGGTGAATAGATATTTTCTGATCTATAAGAGTGAAAACAAAATGGATTAAAGGAAAGATTGAAAAGAAAATTGGTCCTAGAATATATTTAGTTTTTATACCAGATAGAAGTTTTAGGAAACGACGTTGTACTGATTCAACTGTCTCTGTATACAACTGATAAGATGGATTCCAGATTATGGATGCATATTCTGATTTTGATCTGACGAAAGCATAGTATAAGGTTTTCGACGTAGATGGATCCAAGAAAAATCTGGAGATTCGTGCAATGAATCCATACATTCTGTTTGCAGCAGACAGAATGGCTTCAATTTGTGGTACGAAGGAAAGTTTTTTGTCGAAGATAACACCCAGATCGGTGAATGAGACAGGCCAATGGACGATTTCTCAGTGTGTACGTCATTACATTTACTCGTGTTTGAAAGAAGATCTTTGCGAAAACACTATTGCTCAATACGTTTTAGATTGAGGGAGAGTTGAAGACAGTTCTCGATGCCATTGGTCTCTCAATATAATTTCAGGTCATCTGCGTATATCAAACAGTTGATGTTAATGACCTCAACTATGTCGCCTTGAGAAGGCGTTAGTGGACCTAGGTTGCTTCTTTGTGGAATACCCGATGTAGCTGCATATTCTAAGACTTGACGCCTCTCAGTGAAGTTTAACGTCCTCAAGCTAAATTCGGCCAACTTTTCTCAACGAATTTAACCAAAGCCTAGCCGAAACAGCCCAAAAAATTACCCAGGCATTTGGCAGTGATAGTGTCAATGGGCGTACTATGTTGGTTGGCGAAGATTGATACCCAAAGTGGTCACAAACAGTGAAGGGTCAGTCTGATGATGACAGAGGAACTGGGCGTCAGCTCCGTTGTTTGAAACGTATTGTATACACCCATCTCAATGAGACCAAAAAGTGGGTACCCCAGGAAAAGAAAAAAAAGTGGTAATGCTAGTTTTACATCGTTCGATAACTTTTTGAATACTTGGTTCCAAGTTGGTTGTACGCGGTCTATCAGTTATAGACAGAATATCAGTCATAAAAACTGGACCCCACGCTCAATGAAGCCAAAAAATAGCTTTGGCAAATAATGTTATCTGGAGGTTCTTCAAAACCGGCTGCCTGAAAATTGTCTTGCAGTAGAAACTTCCAGTGATTCGATATTCATTTTCATGAGAGACGAATAGGTTATAAGTTATTAGACACAATAAATCAATGGTGAAATAAATCAAAATCAGTCACATTAATATTTTATTTGGAGGCACATATACCTTCTTCAGTATTTAACATATTTGCTATAGCCCACTACAAAGCCCCATTCAGTGATAGAAGTTCTTCAGCAGTCTTCTGGTGCAACACATCCTCCATCTTTCTCGAAGAAGCCATCTTTGCAGTAGCAACCAGGTAGCTCAACACACACATCAATGCAATAATCGGGCATTACTTCACCGCAGGGTACTGACCTACATGGTTTACAGTAATAAAATCGTTCGTTCAAACCACATTCTGAAAAATAAATTCGAAATCCTCAACAACGTTATTATTTGTTTGAAGGTGATTGTCAGTGTTTCATTCCCCGAGGGGTAGTTGCTGACCGCAATTTTTATCTCTTTATTTACCGAATTTCTTCGAAAGATGTACAAAAAATTGATACATGCCCCAGAAGGGGTCAATAAGAACGATTTCTCTACAAAAATTACTTTCGTTCAGATTCCATAAAGTTGCCAAAATTGAGCAGAATCGTGAATGGAGAACCATATTTCATGAAATCAATAGTTCTTCAAATGATATTTGAGAAGATCAGTGTCAACGAAACCCAGAAAAAATGAACTATTGACACGATTTTTAGGTTTATTGTTCCTCAAGAGAATGAGAATATTATTGAAATTAGGTTTTCATTTCTCATATTCACAATACAGTTGAAAAAGCCAGTAAACAAATGAATCGAGTCGAATGCAGGAGGGATAAATAATCGGGGCCCCCACATATACCAAATGCACACAGTTTTTGTTCATATGTCGGTTGGTTGCCTGAGTTATATACTTTTCATTATATTTTTTTCATTTTAAGACTTTTGAACGACCCTACAATAACAACTATTACCAACCGAATTGAAACAAAAGTAAAACACTTACTTGGGATGGCAAAGACAACAGCTGCCAATAGAAGAACAATCGCAAATATGAATCTCATTGTGTTTCACTGTGAAATCAGTCGCATATGAAATTTCAGTCCAATTACCAGTTATTGTTATTTTCAGCTATTCATTTTTAATTCTTCTTTTTGATTTGTTTCAGGGATTTCAAATTATTTTATATAGTAGACAATGAAAGTCAGAACTAGTGAAATTGAAAGAGTCGACCTTCCATTTTGGAACGGGCACACGGTTTCGGGCTCATTAGCCACTCATCAGTGCAAGATAGTGGCCTTCATCGACCTAAAGTCAATGATATTCCAAAATTGGCAATCGGAGATGAGACATCGTGAATTCTTTCAGGTTTGGAGACCAGCCCCCCTACCCTTTTGGCTGATTGTTGGTCTTGACAATCGGAATCATTTCAGAGTATTTCATTCCTCTTGCTAAGTTGGAGCTAACAACAAAATGTCACTCCATCTAGTGGATGAGGTACTAACCAACTGCATATCCGGTGAAGATGTGCCATTTTAATTATCGCCTTGAACATACGCTGAATGACTATACAAGAAACTCTGGGAAAATATGTCAGGGTCATCAAAGTATCTGAGTAGCACGCTGAGTCGTTGATATTTTTTTTCACAGTTCTGATATAGTTGACATATTTACTGGCAGAGATGCTCACAATCCTTCGGTAGAAAGTTTTGTTTTCGTAAACTTGTCACTTCATACTTTCGTCCACATACAGTTCAGCCACTCTACAAATTGAGTTGAAATATTGGCTGAACTGCTTAAAAATTACAGGCTCCTCGAGAATTCAACTCAAGAGTTACCGGTAGACAGCTGTTTCGGCCTGTTGGCATCATCAGTACCGGGCAGGTGGTGGTTCTGATTCGAAGACAGATTGTGAAAATCCAAGACGACTACTTCATGAGTTTCATCCTTGCCATCTTACATGGAAGATCACCCACCAATTGAACTAATCAGCTTCATTGAGAAGAAGTTGCCTTCTTACCTATCCAACTGCTAAATACTTTCTTCAGAGAGTCTAATCTCCTCTTGAAGATGATCACTTGGTGATCGAAACACGTGTCGAGGTGTAAAAATAACGATTTGGTGTTGGGAAAAAAAACTCCGGTAATATTCATCACTACACCAAAGGTTCCAAACAGTATATCACAAGTAGAGAGTCTAATATCAAATTATCCAACGTGGATTAAGAAAAACTCGAAGAAATAAAAATTACTATCCCAGTGGTTACACTTTTGGAACAACTTGAAAAAGAATTTTAACCCTGATTCAAAACAAATATTTTGCACGATATACAGGTAATGTCGATATCAATTTGACGAGACACCCTGTTAGCTCGTGTCTTCAATTTCATACAAACTCACCTGGCAACTCTCTCCCAGGAGACTGAAATATCGCTCTATAAATATTCCCCTCTCAGATCTAACCAAAACAGCACTTCCTATAGGGGCATTTCCTAATCGGCGACTGATTTATTGGTAGACACCGAGGATGTCGAACGACATTCACGGTTTCAAAATAATTAGCCTAAGTGATTTTGATAATTATAAGTTGTTTGAGTAGCACAATAAATGCAAAAGATGTGAATGTTCAAATCAACAGTACTGGCAAATGAGTTTTACTATGTCATAAATGAAAAACTGTTTGTTTATAAATGTCAAAGGGAACATTTCGTTTTCTTTAATTGGGAAAAGCAATCAATTCCAAAATTAATATCGATATTTGAGTTTGATTAGCTCTTATTGCTCAAATATGGATCAAATTTGTATGTCATGATGTGTCCAACTTAAAGGTTACATCAGCATTACTGCGACGTATAGGAGAAAAGTATAGTCTGAAATTCAGCTGACTGACTCACTGACTCACTGACTCTCTAACTCACTAGCTGGCTGACTGTCTTATCCACCGACTCCTGACCGACTGACTTACTGAATAATAGATTGAATAACTCACCTAATTGACTCACACACTGACTGACTCACTCACTAACTGCCTGACAGACTGATTCACTGACTGACATACTGACTTACTAACTGACAGACTCAATGACAATGTGACTCACCGGCTGACAAAGTGACTGACTCACTGACCGACTCACTGACTGACAAACTGATTCACTGACTGACTGACGGACTGACTCACCGATTGACTGACAGTCTGACTAACATACAGACTTACAGACTGACTCAATAACTGACCTACTAATTGACTCACCAGCTGACTGACTCACTGACTGACCCACTAACAGACCACTGGGTGATTGACAAACTGACTCATCGACTGACTCACCAACGAACTAACACACTGACCGGCTCACTGTCTGACTTACTGACTGACTCGTGGGCTGGCCCACTGACTCACAGACCAATGCACCGATCGACTGACTCATCGACTGACCCACCGACTGACTCACTGACTGAACCAGGGATATACTCACTGGCTGACTACTCAACGAATTGCTCAACGACTGACTTATCTACTGACTGACTCACCCACTCACTGACTGATTCACAGTTTGACTCACCGACTGACTCACGTACTGTCTCGCCGACTGGCTGACTGACTTACCCACCGACACACTGAACCGCTGACTGACTCACTGACTGACACACCGAATGACAGACTGAGTCACTGACTGACTCGCTGGTTGACTCACCGACTCAATCACTGATTCTCTGGCTGACTCACATTCTGACTTACTGACTCGCTTTCTAACTAACTCATTCACCGACTGACAGTCTGACTCACTGACGAACTGGCTCATCGAAAGACTCATCGACAACTGACTGACTCACAACTCCTGCTGAAATAAGTGGTCATGGATGATAGTTTTCTCTTAATTTTTCATAGAGAACTCGACCGTAAATGTGTGTTCGAACCTCTTTCTCTCTCTTGTCACTAACGTATAGCTTCCTCTCAACATCCGTTCGCCTCGTCCGATCACACTTTTCGTAACGATCTCGTGACGCATTCTTCAGCCTACTTCCAAGTCAAATGCGCGTAAAGAAAAATCTGTTTAAAAATCTGTTTTTCCGTTAACCAGCTGTCGCACCCCTACGAACGACAACCCTCAGAAGTCGAAACTTGTGCGAGCTAAGGATTAACGAGGTCTTACCTTTTAACGTGTGATTCCTAAAGCTAGTTCAAATATCAAAATATCAGTGCTCAGCAGTGATCAATTGATTATACTTTTGAACTACCGATTTGGTTCGAATCGTAACTTACACTTGTCGTGATATGACAAATTTTGCGAAATGGCACTTAGTGAACTATGGCTCCAGGGGACTATTCACAGATGTCAGTGGTTTGATGCATTAACACCCACTTGAAGTTAGAGATTTGTATACATTAGTAACCTAAAACAAATAAGTTTGCCTGCAACTAGATGATGATTTTCGGAATATTTTTGCAAAAGTTATTTTACTGAGTCTTCCTTCAGAATTTTGTTTTGTAGTGTAGTACCATATCAATAACCGAATCACAGGGGTACAGCCAAATCATTTCTTCTTTTTCAGGATTAGAATACTTCATAACTGACAATTTCAATTTCTGCATTTTTCAAAAAACACTTTTTGGAATACAAACTGAGCAGGAAAAAGTGTTTATCAATAATTCAATGTTCAAATAGGAGTATTTGTTTCGAAAGTACTTCTTTTTGAAGTTTTGCTTTTGCTTTTGTCCTCCCTTGTATGTTTTCCTCATTTTTTGCATGGAGATGCAAAATTTTTCTTTCTCAATAACCATTTTTTCTTGGAAATATACCACCTCCAATTCAAACAAAATTCTCCTAAACATGCATTATAAATACTTACCTATTTCAAAGGGCCTACCTTTCAAAAGAGACACCTTGTATAATCGAATCCAGATATCAAAAACCACATACCTGTTCGTGGTTTATTCTCCTATCACTTCCGCTGCTTCAGATCTGGTCCAAGACAGTTCTCTAAAAGAGTTAATTGGAAGGTGCCATGTGTATTTAATGAACATCCGCTTCCGTGCAAGACTTACATACAATGACACATCTCGCATACTTTTAGCCCATGTTTTGAACAAAATACTACTGTCTCGAAGAGATAAACACAAGAATTAGCCCAAATAAGATAATTGTAATGGTCAAGAGTTTGATATGTAGAAAAACAATTCAGGTATAAATCCTTTTCGTGCATTACGGTTATACAGGGTGTTACTTACAATCCTTCTCATCCTCAATTATTGTATTGCATCTCTTTTTGGTAGAAAACACTTTTTTGGCAAAATTATCCTAAACATTTTTTCTGATGGTTCGTTGAATAGAATTGCATAGTCTGCCTTGTTTGCTACATTTTGAAAAGAAGTTCAGTGATAACTCCAATAAGAAAACTAAATACAGTTTTAATAAGGATTTTCATCAAATATCGGCTAGTTCCATTCAATTACTCCAATAAGAGTATACCTATGAAAATGGTTTACCCTCCCACGGAAGAATTGCTATGCTTTTTGGAGAGATTGAAAATATTGTTTTGATAAAATTCAAATTATGACGTAAATCAAAGATAGATTTTTGATTTGATTATGAAATTTTCAGTGGTTCAGTGAAGAGTAGAAAAAATAATCCATAAGTAAGAATGAAGAAGCTTGAATTGAGGTTTAAGAAACATCCATTAAAAGGACAGGTCTTTACAAACAGTAGTATAAAAATAGCACTGAAAATATGTATATATGTATAATATATAACCACCGGTAGACAGCTGTTTCAGTCTGTTAGGCATCGTCAGTAACGGGCAGGCGGTCCTCGATTGAAGACAAAATGTGAATTACCAAGAAAAGTAACTGTCGCTGATGGAGTAATGAAAACCTGAATGATGTCGACAAAAACACTGACAAACGAATGACAAACGACAACGACATTGACAAACGAATGAACACTGACTGATTGAACTGGTATTCTTGAAAATTCAGCTTTTTTCCGAATCAAATCAGACAGGCGATATGTACCGCAACAGTGACTTGTCATCCGTAAAACAAAAACATCAGCAAAATTCGCGTCGTTTGTAAGATGCTGTAAGAGTAAATTTCTGAAACTCCAGTTTCAAACAAGTCGGATGCAACAAAAACTTCACTATAAACACAATACGCTTTTTCTCCACACCTGCTCCCTGTAGTGTTATTTCCTGTATTTCCGAATAATTCGGTTTTTTATAGCATTTGACCTGAAACTGATGTTTATGTTTATATCACAAATCGGTGTCAGAAGCTGGAGAAGATGCGAAGAAACAATATACAAAGCTGTTGTACTTCCTTTCCGCCGACACATGAGACCGTGTTTATAGTGGGCGTTGGAAGTTTGGATTGTCTACATGGACGTTGTAATTAGGGGGAAACCGACAGAACTTTTCCTGTAAGCCTGCGATCGACACGTGGCCGCTACGCGTTGTTTCATGATTTTCAGGCAGGATTCAACCACGTGCTGAGCACTGGCGGATTTTTGGGACTATAGAATGATGTATGTTGAGGAAAGTCATTCGATAACTCTTGAAAATGTATGACGTCTAGTTATCAACATAATACAGGTGCTAATACACGACAATAAGCATGCTTTGAAATGAAACGATCGTTTGTATGTTCAACTGATGATTTTCATCATGTATTCAGTTGAGTATCAGAAATCAGAGCTGATTCCGTTGATTTAGAATGACTCGTCAGTATTTGCCTCTTATCAGAACTGAGAAACACTTTTTTTGGAACACATTTCAATCTTCCCAATTCAACACCCTATGAATAAGTTTTGAAGACTTTTTCAACCATATTCTGATAATGTGAGCTTGATTAGCTAACTTTAACAGACTATTTTCTGTACCTTTGTATTCGAGATTGAAGTTCCTGCCAATGACTACTCATTTTGGCTGTTCCTATAAAGCACCTGTTTACATACGTTCGGAATAGATCTAAGGAACATTCCAGAATCTGAATATTTCAAGTGCTGCAATGATTAGACAGGTTGCTACGATTTCTATTTGTCGGAAATCTGGTTTATATTGGTTCAAGTTATTTACAGAACTGTTTTTTTGCTGATGCTGTTGAACCGTTTGTTTACTACCGAAATAGATGAAAGGAAGTGCACCGTGTATCGAATTATTTGAGGTTGTGAGGTTCATGTTTATAGTCGATTGAAAGTGTGGACTTTCACCACTGAAGCTGTGCTGAGCTTTTGATTCAGTAAATCATATAACTTCACTTGAGGAATTTAAACAAATTGGCATCAGAGATGAAGTTTTCATCTGGTTTTACAATTATTCATTTGGACAAAAAACAATTTGTTTGCGTGAATAAATTCAAATCCCAGAAAAAAGCATTTCTTGTGGCGTAACTCAAAAATCTATTTTTGAGTCTACTTTCTTTCTTATTTACTATCGAAATAAATTTCAATAATGACTCTATGAGACCCTGCTTTTGGGCTTTGCAATACGAAGAAAGGTCTCGAGAAGGAACTAGACAGCATCAAAAATGATCTTCAACGGAATGGCTACTCCAAAGCGATGGTAGAAAAGACTTTGGCTAGAAGTCAGCAGGAGCCTCGCAAGGAAGAGAAGCCGTCACAACCAGTGCTTGCACTTCCCTACATCAGAGGATTATCGGAGAGGATAAGAAGAATTGGTTCCAAGTACTAGGGATTTCAAATCATTTTATATAGTAGACAATGGAAGTCCGAACTAGTGAAATTCGAAATAAAATCACTTGCAAATGACACAACTTTTATATATCCCGATTTAGTTATTAATAAATTGAGGAACGAAATCAACTTTCTTTAGAAATATTGAGGGAATCATGTACAGCGAATGTTGAATTACTGCCGATATCAAAAAGAATAAGAAAATTTTGAAGGGTGGCCTAAAAGCAAGAATGTGAAGGGGGTTAATGAAGATGAAATTAAAATCGGAGGTTTATTCTCCTTACTTGGCGCCTGTAGACGTGACGAACCTGTTAAACTAACTGTGGATGATTTTGAATGCTTCAGTACCAGAGTTTTTGATTACATTGAGGTATATAAAAAACAAAAAGAACAATATATATTCTTCATATTCAAAGAAGAACTTGCCTATACTTTATACCAAATATACCAAATTTGGAATATCGGCGACTCTTCATTGGTTATATGAATAATAAATGTGCAAAACAATTTATGGGCATTCATGCTATTGGAGGTGTTTCAAAGAAAATTGCAGCATCGGCTATTATGCTTCTAGAAATTGGTACAGATAAAAGAACTTCCGAGAACTGGAACTCCTCTGCGGTGACGAAGTCGTATATTGAAAATTCAGTTTCAAAGAGAATGAAGATAACGAGACAACAATTTCATAGTAATGAGGCCACACCGACAAGTTCAAATAGTGGTGCTATAGATGTAAATCTCTCATCGATAGAATAGAAATTTCAAATGAGAGCAGTTGTCAAATTACTTTTCAAATTTATAAATAGTTAGTATTATCATAATTATTGTTTGTGTAAGCAGAATAAAGTGTTCAATTGTCATCTAAATACCGGTAAATCTAAATAAAAGTATTGGATTACGAAAAAAATAAAAGATAACTGAAAAATGAAATGAGAAGTTTGAAATTCGAAAAATCTAGTTATATGTTCATACTTACACAAAAGACTATGACACAAATACGTCTCTGTTTTACAATAGTTGCAGTACCTATCAGATATGATATTTTTATCTTGAGATCATATATTTCCAACCATTTTGAAGTATCCTTTTGATAGAATGCATAATTAAAGTTCTCAAACTTGAATTTGAATTATCTAATTGAACAGTATATTATTTGACAATCTGTTTAAAATCTTATACGAACATTCACAAAACATTGCCTACAACAAAGGGAAAATATATTCTCTAAGTATTTTTGAAAACTGGGGACATGGAAATTTCAATTATTGCAATTTAAATCTGAATCAAAGTTTCGATCGTTTGAGTAGGCTTCAATTTGAATGGCTTGGTGTTGTCATTCGATTCACCAACGACAATGAGCAAAGAAAAGTATTCCGTATCATATAATCAATCTTCCAAAATATCTAAGTACAACCACAGCTTCTCAGGAACAGGCAAACTCCTTATACCTTCAGGGAGCTGGTGATTTTCCCAAAGCCTCCTTCTAACAGCACACCTACATAAGTGTTTCAACTCCGGAGGAACGAAACCACATCTTGTTGGAGGAATCAGACCATCTTCAATCAAATCGGAATATTTTTCGTACATTTTCTGATAGACAATATCATATGCGTGTTCTCCTACGGCATCAGGTTTTATCACTTTTATGAAAGGAACTGCCCTCAATAGCAGTTGCAAGCAAGACACCAAATTGTACGGATATAGGTGGTTGAAGACCTGGAGTCGATTCAAGATGTGCTCCAAAACAGTCGTGTCTTCGTTCTCTGTGTAAATTTCCGCTCCGAATCGGAGAAAAGTTAGAAGTTTATCAGGTAGTCCAAGTTGGACAGCAATCTGAAATGTGAAAAAAAAATTGAACTAATTATTATTACCTCCAGCACCAAAACCGTTATTTTCGTCACCTCGACACCAAGTAATTGGTATAGAACTCCATTAATATTTATTACTACACCGAAGGTTCCAAACAGTGCATCATAAGGTAGAATAATTGTCTACTTGTAACTTCAAGGTGGAAAGTGAGGTTAATATTCAGGGCAGAAAAATTATGATCCAAGAAAAACAAATACAAAATTAATGAATGAAGTGAATGAAAGAATATCTAGGAAATATGTATTTCATATATATTTATGAACTTTTGCACCCCTCTTCTGAAGACTTCGTTTTCAGAAAGGAATTATATAATCATAACCCCTTGAGAGTCGTTTCGGAACCTTTCATCTTCTATTTATCTATCTCATTGCCACCTGTATTGATGATCTCTTATATAGTTTCGATAACCTACCCCAACTAGAAAATATTCTACAGCAGTTACCAATTCGGTATTGTAGAAATTGTGAAACTCGTAGATGGAAAATTCTCGATCTTCTGGCTCTATATAGAGGCTCTCACCTCTCGAGGTGAAGATTCTGCATTCATAAAGTAATAAAACATCCTAGGAATAGTTTCTCTAAGAAGTTCTTCGTAAAATGTTCCATCTTCTCAAATCGTTTGGTCTCCTATGGTCATTGACTGGATGTAGAACATATGAAGGCATCAGGAGGAGGTTGGTATTAAGATATGTTCAATGTAACCAGAATTCTGGCAGTGATATACAGCATGAAATGCACTCTATTTTTCCACCTGCTTAGGCTACACAAGAATAACCCAATGCATGGTGTTTTCTTTCAAAACTTAGAACATCTGACATTGTTCTCCATAATTCAACTAGCCCCGGTGGCATATTGCAGCAGTGGGTTTGTAGGGTTAGTCCAACGTGAATAGGTCTACTCAACCTCTAGTGGACCAAATAAATCCAGCTCCATAACGAAGACAAACACTATTTGGTGAGTATATTTCCAGATCAGCTAGCAAGAGTTGGACTCTGTGCAGAATAATCCTCCCCAAGGTTAACAGACGATGGTACATTTTCCTCAGTCAAGCGGGATGGTAAGTCAGGGACTACTTTCGTTGGATAATGACTAATTAACAGAAAAATATCAGTTCCTCATTCCTCAACGTTTTGGAGAGGCTGTATGAGTACTTTTTGATATCAAAAAACCAACCAACTACCAGGAAAATGTTCGTCCTCACATTTTCCTTAATTTGCATAAAGAAAAGAGCCTATCTGTCCAAAAATTCCACACGTACCTTCAAAGGAGATGCTCTTCCACAACTTTCAATCGGTAAATCAATGAACCTAAAGTTAGTATACGTTCCGTTAGTACTAAATCTCAGTTCTAAACCTCCATCATTAGCCTTTTCAAGGAAATACACTACTGCACTCAGATTCTCTTCTTGGTTATCAAAATCACTCTTCCAACCTGCTATGTAATGCGGAGCTTTGTGTCCAAAAATGGCCCCTATGAAGATACGTTCGAAAGTATTTTCACATGCGTATATTTCTCTCAAAAGATTACAAACCTGAAAAGAAAAACGATGCAAACTTTGTGAACACATTTACAAAAAATGAATGTTGATTTCTCCGCTGAGTGGTTTGAAGTTTAATACTTGAGGTTGGGAGGTGAAATTTTTGTGAAAGTTAATCAGTCCCACTTGGATACCTTACATATTCCGCAAGGAGTTCAACAAGGCTCGATCCTGGGACCATTCCTGTATGCAGTTTATGCAAAGGACCTCATGAGATATGTCAATATGACTAACAGCTCTAATATACACACGGTATGTTATGCCGATGATACTAATGTATTGGTAGCTCAAAACGATGTGAATGTATTGAAAATTGTAACGGAAAATATTCTGGAAAATGTGCTGAAGTAGTCGAAAAACAATAATATAAATTCGGATACATCAAAGACTAATGCTATGTGATTCACTCTGCGTGGGCACGATCTACACTGTAAACTTCTTGAAGGTATCAAAAGTGGTTAGATAGGTGGCTGAATTTTTTTTCAAGTACTCACAAAAAGATTGGAAGAATTGTATTGAAATATATTCTTTATTTGGGGTTCAAGTATTTAATATCAACATGAAAGGACATACCGTTTCACTATCTTTCACTTTCCAATCGTAGCAGAGCTTCATAGCAACATACAGTATATTGTGATACTTTCCCATTTTGCAAACTGTTCCGTTTTCATATTTCATTTCTTTGTGGTACTGTAGAATGGTTTTTATGGCTACTTGAGCTGTTTCCTCAATGTTTGATTCCTCTGAAATGAAGTGACATCAACAGTGGTTGCAACTATTGATGAAAATAGTATATAATTGAATCAAGATAATCTGTAGGTGCATATAATAAAAATGTTGCTGAGGTCTTCATCAACCCAATCAAAACTAAAGCAATGCTCTTTGGAATTGTTGTTGTTTTGAAGAAATACCTCCAATACTTATGTTTTCACGTGGAAAAATATTTGTACTGTTAATACCTGCAGAACATCCTTCAATCAAAGTGCTGATGTAGTCCACCATGTTTTTCCGTTTTCTTCTATCGTGTAAACTATTTCTCGGAAGGGAACTGAAGTAATCAAAATAACACCGAAGAAAGGTTTCCATTTTACGTTAAGACTAACTGTCACTGACACTGACACATCTCAAAAACAATTCGGTTTAGCTGAATTTCCAGTTAATTTTCGATTTCACGTTACTTTTCCGTATACCTAACCTGTTGGTGTGTGTTGGAGAATAGTGACTTTATTATGATGAATAATCTAATTATCTGCATTTTCTTAGCTTCTTATTACATTCATAATCGATAATCATTGCTTTGGGACAACAGAACCAAAATCGATAGGAGAGAAAATAAAACAAAATGAATTGGATTGCTATAAAAATAACAAGAGTTAATCACTTTTTCAAATAAAGTCTTTTCAGACAGTTTTTGAATGATGATGCACAAGCACTGCTGGAAATCTTTGAAATTATTTGATAGCAGTACCTGTGCAAAAAAGGTTCTTTTCTTTTTTTTAGGTGAAGATAATTTCGAAACCTCCAGCTCTTTGTTAGAAATTCCAGTTTTTGGAAAGGTATATGGAATCATTTTTTTGAAAATAGATTCTACAACAGAAGAATTGGTTTACTCATCTCAGGCCACTTTAGTTTTGAGAAATCAGCTTTAAAAAAATAATATGATATGACCAAATGGTCTTTGTGACAAGACCAAAGAGTTTGTTTGTGTTTCAACATACTATTCTCATCGTAAATATGAAAAATTATGGAATGCTTTGGATTGATATTATTCTGTTTTTGAATCACATGTATATAGGGATTTAGATCCCTTCTTGTTCATAATATAAGTGAACGATTTTTTTAATGGGATCAATTCAGCTCAGATTACATATAGTATTACATTATTATCAGCATTTCTTACTCTGTTTTCAAATACAACAGAACCTGCTCCAGATCCGGAAACACCATTTGTAGCAGCCTCACGAAAACCAGGCCACCAAACGCGTATATTATTTTATTTATAATGTGACAATGTATTTACTATTGTAAATGGTTTAGCTATTCATTTTAATTTCATTTGTTCTTTCTGAGACTTCAAATCATATCAGAATGATATTAGACAACAGAAGTCCGAACTGATGAAATTCAGTTTCTTTCCACTTGCGAATTTCCTACGGTACAATATTCTAATGCAAGAAGTTTTCTTCATTCTTCAAGAACGAACACCTAGGACAATTTTGGATTCTGGCTATAGAGCTTTTTATAAAACTGAAAATCATGATATTTGCCTTCATCTATAAACATCATATTTTACTCAAAACTCAGCTTTTGTCACTGAAAATATATTTCTGGTTCAGAAGAGGATGCTTTTTTCTCCAATTGTTTTTGTAATGGTTGCAGTAGAAGTAGAAGCAGTAGAAGATTTGAATGAAATAAATAGTTATTTCATAATTTTTTTGTGTATATTTTTGTGATAGTTAGCAGTTATTTCAAGTAAGACCTATTATGATTTCATGAATTCGTAAAATCGTATGAAACCTGAAAAAATAAAAGAAATTTGTTCGATGAAATCTATTCACAGGCAAATCAGAGTTTATTTAGAGACAAGGCATATGTTTTAGTGGTGAATCCAGTTTACAGAATTCCTTGTAAACAGACAAGATGAAAAGACATGAAAACACAGAAAGCTGCTAAGATTTATACATCAGGGGGTATCAGTGTTTATGTCTGAAGACATACCTTTGAACTTCGGTAGAGTTCCTGGAAACAAATTTCAAAGAATCAAAATCATAAAAAATTTGAAAGTTATCAATTCAATATTGATGTACCTACAGAATAAAGAATTTTGAAAGAATATGAGAAGGATGAAAATTATACCGTATAAAATTGCCACAAAATTTGTAAGTAGTATGTGAATGTGCAAATATAAGATGGCCTTGAATGTTATGATAAGATTGCTAATAGTGGTTGTCAAGCACGTAATTGAAAATCATCAAAATAATCATTCATTTCACACAACAACAACATTTCACTCCAACAAAGTCATATTCCCATGATAATGTGATATGTACATCTCTACGATGATTTATCATGCGTAGATAATGAATACTGACATTTGATTCGTTGTAATTGTATGGAACCATCAATGAAAGCCAATATTATTATCATTTTTGCTCGTTAGTAATGTATACAGTTGACGATTCCTATTTGTGGTTGACATCTTTGGAAAAATATGTGTATTACGTTTTCATCTTGACAAATTTGAATCAAGAGATAATTGTCGGCTCGCCACAGGATATACTTTTGATCTAACTATAATTTTAATGTTCCCCACCATAAATTGACGAAAGCAGCAAACGGCCCTCTAATTATGCCCATCAAGTTATTCAACAAACTACCTATCTCTCTTAAACAGCATCAAACCTGCATTCTTTCAAAAAAAATGTTGAATTCCCTCAAAGTATACTTCCAGGCTGATTTGGAAATATTAATAAATTGATTGTAATAGTTTAGACTGTACTATTTTCAATTGTCATATTTTCAGTTTCATGTTTTTTCATACTTCTGTTTGCTATTTTCATATCTTTACTCTTTTATGTATAAATATATACATTGTGTGTATATTGAGTCCTAGAAACAGTATACCTAGAGAAGATGCACACGAATTGAGGCGTTCGGACCGTATAAAAAAACATTCAACAGGATGACACGTTCAGTTAGAGTAGAGCCTAGATGATGATAGTACGACCAGCTATCGAAAGCGCTCACATATAATTAAATAGAAGTTATAAAGCCTCCAATCCTTTTTGTGACTTACATTGTTATTAAAATACTGAAAATAAAAGAAAATCAGTTGCATCATTCAAAAATATATATTTATAATTATTTGTATTGTGAATTTTATTTATTTCAGTTTAATTGACTTTTTCCATGCTGTAGAGTCTCTGGAAATAAACTGATTTGATTTGATAATGAAACGCATCCCTCAGAATTCGTAAGAATCGAATAGCACCCATAAGGTTAAGTGGAAGAGCAATTAATAACGATTTATCGTTATAAAAATTGACCTTCGCCTTTTGTTTCCAACTTCTTTATGTTTTTGTCCATAATGTTCATTAACTGTTGAACCTTATTAGTTGTAAACAATAAAGGCATTTATTATTATTATTATCGTTCATCGAATGCCACTGCCAAACGCAATGTGGCTGTAGTTTCCTTGGCGAGATTGAACTTGCAAGTGTCTTGTTTATCTTCATCCCTCCACCGCACTCATGAAGGGAAAGATATTTCTGGATCGAAGGGGGTTCATCACGGAAATAGTTTTCTAAATTTAAAGAAACACACGATGTGAACATGTTTCTGGCAAAAAATACGATGTGCTGTGCCGAAGACCTCGTCATGAAATATTCAAGTCAGTATACTAACATAAAAATTGACCATTGACAGGATCTAAATTGTCAAAACACATTTTAAAATCAGACGGTGAACATCGAGTGGAATGGGACAGGACAAGAATGATTATCAATGAGCCTCACTCTAAGAGACGTAAGCTAAAAGAATCAGCGTATATTCTTATATCTGGAGAGAATTGTATTTCGAACAGCTCCTTAGAAATAGACCGTACTTGGCTACCCATCTCGAAGAAAAAAAATTTGGAAAGTGGTGAAATAGCAACGGACTGGCAACGGAGATCACCTTGTATTACATTGAATGTTTCAGTTGTCATTCAACAACATTGACATAATTTCATATTTTAAAACTCCTTTGACATCTGTCGAAGAAGTGAAGAAATAAATAATCAAAAAGGGATAACTGCCAATATCTTGGAATGTTTCGTCCATTTCTGAAGATGGAGGCAGATTTTGGCCTGCGAAACGTTAAGATAAGTATTGTATTGTTTCTTAGCAATTTTTTTGATAGGCCAAATTGATAAATATGACAAACTAAACTGGTAAACTAAAAAGTTTGCCCTTCTACACTTGTATAAAGTTCTCCATTATAATTTTTATATTTTTCAGATTGTGGAGGGTAACAAATACCTCAAAAAAGGTCGATAAAAATCTTCTTTGCAGTATCGTTCTCATACATGGAGTTCCGCTGAAACAATAATATGCTGTTCACTTTCTTCATTGTTCTCATTGTTCTGTACATGTTCAACTCCTAGACTTGATTACTTTAAAAAATTTTAGTAGTTATCTCTGACACATTAGAACGTTCTCCACTATTATTGATCATAAAACATCAAAATTGTTTATTTTACAAAATGTCCTCATTAAATGAAATTGCTAACGAATTGCTCCGGTGGAACACAAGTGTGTGTTTGTATTATTTTCTGTTCGTAATTGACATTTGGCGTCAAAAGTTACCGGCTCCTTTTTATAGGTTCGCAACATCCACGAGCCATACTTCACCTGCTTTTATAGGTATTGGAAACCGAGAAAACTACAGGGAGGTCCACTGGTCCATGAAATCATGCGTTTTTATAATTGGCTGGTCTTCAGTGACTACTGCTCCGCGGCGACGGTTTTTTATTCTCACCTAGTGGTGAGACTTTCAGGATGGAAAGGTTACCACGATTTTCCAGACAAATGACATTTTCTAGAGCTGATTTTTTTGTCGAATGTTCAGGAAAGGAAATGGTATTTTTACAATTTTTCGATAAAGATTGCCTGTCGAAATGTTGGTTGAGATAAACTTTGAAACTAAATTTCAGACTAGTATATCTAAACAGAATATAACAGACGCTAGGGAATTGCGCTGCTAGTTAATGCCAAGTTGGCATTCCAATGTTCACCTTTGTAGATATACATGAACTTCGGAACTTCTGCGAGATGATCATTAAAGTGCCAGATCATGTTTGGGTCTGCAACTTTATACACCTGCACTGGAAGAAGTTTTTAATCCAACTGTGATCTGCTCACAATATTACCTTCTTCCAAAAGATCTAACCCTCTCCACTCGGGATGAGAACTATACAGAGTAGGCCGTAATTGACTTTTGGAGGAGTTAAGTCGAGGGTCTTGTCGATGTAACTGATGTTGTGGTGTAGTCAGCAATGAAGATGATCAGGTAATACTCTCTTTATACACCAGAGAGCTCTGATTGAGCCATTCGGTGTAGAGCTTCTGGCCAACAAGCAATTACTTCATACATGATCATTGGGTATGACAAGATGTTTAACAGACCCTTCTACAAGTCCATAGGAACAGTCTGACTCTGTGTGAAGCCTTACCCAAGTAATTGGTGCAGGTGGATTTTTCATCCAGGATATTACCTATAGATTTCATGTTCTCCACCACTGGAGGAACGTGGAGTTGAATCATACTTCCATTTTCATGATGGAAGAGACTGTCAAAGATTTGTTGGAGTTTTGTGACATCTGCTACCTCTGGAACCAACTATGAACAACGTCCTTAGAAATATATCACAGGCTATCCTTTCATCTACGTAAGCTTGCAGATCAAACTCTTTTCTGTCGATATTTGGCAA